GCCGTGCCCTGTCCCTCGGTCGGCGTGCGTCCTGCGTGGCCGTGCCCTGTCCCTCGGTCAGCACGTCAGAGCGCAGCGCCCACAGCCTGGGGCGTCTGCACGCCCTGTGGTCAAGGCGGGGTCTGTGAGTGAGCAACTATCGCCCCTGTCTACTGGGTTTTGATCCGAACAGAGGATCCTGGAGCCGGTGAAGAGGGCCAGCATGGCATGGGCTGAGGTCGGCTGGCCGCGCCCCTCGGTGAACTCTCCGTTTAGTCTGGGCAGAGCACTGGGCCGTGAGCCCCTCATATGCTGTAGGGAGGCAGTGGAGGACAGTTGCTCCTGAGGCAGCCTTAGGAAAAGGGGGAGGGATGGGGGGCAAGGAAGAGCTGTTGGGGACCAGACAGAGCTGCCCTTCCTCATACTGTCCAGGCTTGGCGACCCACGAGCCTGAGACCTTACATGGACCTTGCTTTCTGAGCCCTTTCAGCCCTTTCTCTCAGCGAGGCCCGAGGGGGCTCAGACGTCCCTGGTGACATCTGATGCGGCCCTGGCGCCCCGGGTGATGGCGAACATGGTCATGCCCGCAGGCATCACCTCCGAGAACGAGCAGCAGGTGCAGGAGCTGACTTCAGAGACGGAGCTGGAGCGGGCAGTACGCAAGGCAGCCCTGGTCATGTATTGGAGGCTCAACCCCAAGAAGAAGAAGCAGGTGGCCGTGTCGGAGCTGCTGGAGAATGTGGGCCAAGTTGACAGGCACGGTATGTGGAGTAGGACAGGGCCCAATGTGGGGGTACAGCAGGGAACGGGGGCCTGACAGTGGGGCTGGGGGCCCAAGAGTCTGTGGGCCCGTGTCCAGGCTACAGGGCTGGGAAACGCTGAGTGGAATAGCCACCGGGGTTTCACCCACACTGTCCCCGCAGATGGAGGAGTACAGCCAGGCCCCGTCCCCAAGTCCCTACAGAAGCAGAGGCGGATGTTGGAGCGCCTGGTCAGCAGCGAGTGTGAGTACAGCCGCAGCGCCACGGGCTCCTAGCCTATCAGCCTGGACCCCCACCTACTGGCCTGCCTCCCCGCCCCAGCTGACCTGCTGCAGGCCCCCCTGCCCACCTTCCCGGCCCCCCGTCTACTCCTACTATGGACCCAGGCCTGGATCCTTGCCAGGATGTCAGAACACGAGTGGGTTTGGGGTCTGGTCCTTTTGGTCCATGTTCTAAGCACGGGATGCCTGCTCTGAGGGTGGAGAGACGTGGGCCAGAGACCAGCAGCAGAGCCAGCCAGTGATGTGGGTGTGTAGGTGCATCAGGGGTGCCCCAGGGAGTCAGCCATGGTGGGGGGAAAAGGGGGAGCCAGGCACGAGCAAAGGCCCAGGAGACCACAGCACAGTGAGGGGTCAGCAGGGGACAGGCTGCAGGGTTGGGGGGACAGCAGGGCAGAGACAGGCAGGGAAGTGTCATCTGAAGAGCTGTCTGCCACCCCTCCCTCCCCTGTCCAGCCTGGTCCCCTGCACCCTCCTGGCCCCCACCCCACTGTGCACCATGCTGGCCTGATGCACTGCCTTCACCCGTCTGTCCCTGCCCTGGGGGACCCTTGTTCTTTCTCGTGTGCCGCAGCCAAAAACTACATCGCGCTGGACGACTTCGTGGAGATCACCAAGAAGTACGCTAAGGGCATCATCCCCAGCGGCCTGTGCCTGCAGGGCGAGGACGGGGATGAGGATGAGGAACTGGCCGGGAGGAGCCCCGAGGACCTGCCGCTGCACCTGAAGGTGAGGCCCCCCGTCCCTGCAGGTGTTCCCCTGCTCCAGGACGCCATGGAGGAGGCCCCACCTTAGCGCATGGGTCCTAGAGCCACGTGGGGTGTCCTTGGACCACCCTGCAGGGATGCTGTTCTCTGTGGAACTCCCCTTTCAGCTGATGCCTTGGTTAGAGTACAGTTCGGAACAGCAGCTCGTCTAGTGTTCAGCAAAACCACTGGTTAGCAGCAGAGCACTTTAACCGTTTGCGCCACCAAGGGACACCTCATGTAGAGCTTGAAAATGTTTCGTTAGGGGAATACCTAAGTATTTCATTATTCTTGGTGCTAATGTAAATGGTGTTGCATTTTTTAATTTCAAATTTCAATTGTTCGTTACTTTGTGTATTACATCCTGCAATCTCGCTGTAATTGCTTATTCCTTTCAGGAGTTGTTTAGTCAACTCTTCGGGATTTTCTCCGTAGGCAGTCATACCATTTGTGAACAAAGACAGTTTTATTTTCCCCTCCCATTTTTTATTTTGTTTCCTTGTCTTACTGTGACTTCCAGTACAATGTTGAATAGGAGTGGTGAGGGGGACATCCTTGTCTTGTTCCGATCTTTGGGGCGAAGCATGTCGTTCCCCACCACTAAGTAAGATGTTGGCTGTAGGGTTTTTGTAGATGTTCTTTATCAAGTTGAAGGAGTTCTCTATCTCTAGTTTGCTGAAAGATTTTTTTATCATGAATGGATATTGGATTTTGTCAAATGATTTTCTGCATCTATCAATATGATAATACGATTTTTCTTCTTTTGTCTGTTGATATGATGGATTACATTTGTTGATTTGTGAATGTTGAACCAGCCTTGCATACCTGGGATAAATCCCACTTGGTCGCATGTACGGTTCTTTTAACACATTGTTGGATTCGATCTGCTAATGATTTGCTGAGGATTTGTGCACCTATGTTCATGAGAGATATTGGACTGTAATTTTTCTTCCTAGTCATATCTTTGTCTGGTTTTGGAATTAGGGTAATGCTTATCTCATAGAATGAGTTGGGTAATGTTCTCTTCTATGTTTTGGAAAAGTTTGAGAAGGATTGGTGTTAATTCTTCTTTAAATGTTTGGTAGAATTAACCAGTGAAACTCTCTGGGCCTGGAGCTTTCTGTTTTGGAAGGTTGCTAATCGTTGATTCAGTTTCTTTTGATAGATATAGGCCTATTCAGATTATCTATTTCTCTTTGTGAGTTTAGATAGTTCAAGTCTCTCGAGGAATTGGTCCATTTCATCTAAGTTAGCAGATTTGTGGGCAAAGAGTTGTTCACAGTATTTCTTTGTTGTCCTTCCAATGTCCATGGAATCACCTGTAATGGCCCTTCTTTTGTTTCTAATCTTAGTAATTTGGATCTTCTCTGTTTTTTTCTTGGTTAGTGTAACCAGCGGCTTATCGATTTTATTGATCTTTTCAAAGAATCAGCTTCTGGTTTCATTAATTTTCTCTATTAATTTTCTGGTTCAAATTTCATTGATTTCTGCTCTAATTTCTTTTATTTTCTTCTGCTTACATTGGAAGTAATTCGTTCTTCTTTTTCGAGTTTCCTAAAGTGGAAGCTTAGATTATTGATTTCAGATCTCTCTTCTAATATATGCACTCAGTGCTGTAAATTTCCCTCCAGGCACTGCTTTCACTGCATTCCACAAATTCTGATCAATTATATTTTCATTTTGTTCAAAATATCTTTTAATTTCTCTTGAGACTTTAACGCATCTATTATAAGTGTGTTGTTGAATCTTCAAATTTTGGGGGCTCTTCCACCTGTCTTTCTGTTGTTGATTTCTAGTTTAATTTCATTGTTGTCTGAGAACATACTCTGCATGATTTCCATTCTTTTAAATTTGTTTAGGTGTGTTTTATGGCCCAGAATGTGGCCAGTCTTAGTGAATGTTCCACATGAGCTTGAGAAGAATGTGTATTCTGTTGTTGTTGGATGAAGTAATCGATAAATGTCAATTAGATCATCCAGGTGATTGATGGTGCTGTTCGGCTCAACTCTGTCGTGATTTCCTGCCTGGTGATCTGCTGATCACTGGTAGAGGGGCGCTGAAGTTTCCAGGTCTAACAGTGGGTCTGTCTGTCCCTGCAGTTTGTCTGTTTTCTGCCTCACATATTCTGACACCCTGTCATCAGGCATGCACACATTCAGGATTGTATGTCTTGGAGAATGGGCCCCTTCGTCATTATATTAAGCCCCTCTTTTTTTTTGATAGTTATCCTTGCCGTGAAGTCTGCTTCCCTGAAATTGGTGTAGATATTCCAGCTCTCTTTCGGTTAGTATTAGTGTGGCGTGGCATTCTCCATTCCTTCCCTTTAACATAGCTGGGACTCTACATTTAAAGTGGGTTTCTTGTAGACAGCATATAGCTGGGTCTTCTGTTTTTATCCACTCTGACAGTCTGTCTTATTTGCTGTATTTAGACCATTCACGGTTAATGTGATTGTTGCCCACCTCGTGAAAAGAGAGGTCTGTGGTGGAAACATGGCTGGGCGAGCTGCCTGTTTTGCCAGGAACTGGTGATTGGAGGAGGCAGTGCGCTGAGCAGTGCGTGGAGTCTTTGTCCTGGCTCTGACACCCCTCTCGCCCCCCTAGGTGGTCAAGTACCCCCTGCATGCCGTCATGGAGATCAAGGAGTACCTTATTGACGTGGCTTCCAAGGCAGGCATGCACTGGCTGTCCACCATCGTGCCCACCCACCAGCTCAACGCCCTGCTCTTCTTCTTCATCATCAGCAACCTGACCGTCGACTTCTTCGCCTTCTGCATCCCCCTGGTGGTCTTCTACCTGTCCTTTGTCTCCATGGTCATCTGCACCCTCAAGGTGTTTCAGGACAGCAGGGCCTGGGAGAGCTTCCGCACGCTTACTGACCTGCTGCTGCGCTTCGAGCCCGGCCTGGACGTGGAGCAGGCCGAGGGCAACTTCGGCTGGAACCACCTGGAGCCCTACATCCACTTCCTGCTGTCCGTCTTCTTTGTCATCTTCTCCTTCCCTGTTGCCAGCAGGGACTGGGTGCCCTGCTCCGAGCTGGCCCTCGTGTCCATCTTCTTCACCGTGACCAGTTACGCCAGCCTGGGCTCCTCAGCCGAACCCCACACCCGCCGGGCGCTGGCCACCGAGGTGGCGGCCGGCCTGCTGTCCCTGCTGCCTGCCCTGCCCTTCGACTGCCAGCCACTGAAGCTGCTCGGCCAGACCCTGTTCCGCGTGCCGCTGGGCCACCTGTTCGTGCTCAACGTCAGCGTGCCCTGCCTGCTCTATCTGCACCTCTTCTACCGCTTCTTCCGCATGGCGCAGCTCAGGCACTTCAAGGGCACCTACTGCTACCTGGTCCCCTACCTGGTCTGCTTCATGTGGTGTGAGCTCTCGGTGGTGCTGCTGCTCCAGTCCACCGGCCTGGGGCTTGTGCGCGCCTCCATCGGCTACTTCCTCTTCCTCTTCGCGCTCCCGGTGCTGGTGGTGGGCCTGGCCTTGATGGGCCTGGTGCGCCTGGTGCGGTGGCTCGTGTCCCTGGAGCTGACCAAGGTGGCGGTCGCGGTGGTGGCGTGCGGCATCCCGCTGCTGCTGCGCTGGGGGCCTGGGGCCCGCACCTCGTTGCTGGGTGCCCTGCGGTCACTGACGCGCAGCTCTGTGGTCAAGCTCATCCTGGTCTGGGTCACGGCGGTGGTGCTGTTCTGCTGGTTCTACGTGTACCGGTCGGAGGGCATGAAGGTTTACAACTCCACACTGACCTGGCCGCAATACAGCGCCCTGTGCGGGCCGCGCGCCTGGCGGGAGACCAACATGGCGCGTACGCAGATCCTCTGCAGCCACCTGGAAGGCCACCGCGTCACCTGGACGGGCCGCTTCAAGTACGTGCGGGTGACGGAGATCGACAACAGTGCGGAGGCGGCCATCAACATGCTGCCGTTCGCCGTGGGTGACTGGCTGCGCTGCCTGTATGGCGAGGCCTACCCGCCCTGCAGCTCCGGCGGCGTCCCCACTGCCGAGCAGGAGCTCTGCCGCCTCAAGCTGCTGGCCAAGCACCCCTGCCACATCAAGCGGTTCGACCGGTACAAGTTTGAGCTCACTGTCGGTGTGCTGCCTGGCGGCGCCGACGGCACACGCGGCGCCGAGGAGGACGACGTCACCAAGGACATCGTGTTGCGCGCCAGCAGCGAGTTCCGCGCCGTGCTGCTCAGCCTGCGCCAGGGCAGCCTCGTCGAGTTCAGCACCGTGCTCGAGGGCCGCCTGGGCAGCAAGTGGCCCGTCTTCGAGCTCAAGGCCATCAGCTGCCTCAACTGCGCGGCCCAGCCGTCACCAGCCCCGCGGCACGTCAAGCTCGAGCAGGACTGGCGCGGCACCGTGCACGGCGCCCTCAAGTTTGCCTTCGACTTCTTCTTCTTCCCGTTCCTGTCGGCCTCATGAGGACGCTCCCCGGGGTGCCCCGGCCCTGGTGTGGATACCGAGTGTGCCTGCAGGTGTGTGCGTGCGTTTGTGTGTGTATGTGCTTGTGTGTGTGCTCACAGGGGTGTGTGTGTGCTCATGGGTGTGTGTATGCGTATGGATGCATGTGTGTGCTCACGGTGTGTGTGTGCGTGTGCCTGGCTGCATGCATGGGTGTGTGTGTGCTCATGGTGTGTGTGTGCGTGTGCCTGGCTGCGTGCGTGGGTGTGTGTGTGCTCATGGTGTGTGTGTGCGTGTGCCTGGCTGCGTGCGTGGGTGTGTGTGTGCTCACGGTGTGTGTGTGCGTGCGTGGGTGTGTGTGTGCTCACGGTGTGTGTGGGTGTGTGTGTGCTCACGGTGTGTGTGTGCGTGTGTCTGGCTGCGTGCGTGGGTGTGTGTGTGCTCATGGTGTGTGTGTGCGTGTGCCTGGCTGCGTGCGTGGGTGTGTGTGTGCTCATGGTGTGTGTGTGTGCGTGTGCCTGGCTGCGTGCGTGGGTGCGTGTGTGCTCCGGTAAGTGCCCGCGAGAGCTCATGCATGTTTGCAGGTGCATGCGCGTCCGCACTCACGTGTATAAATCCAGGGCTTCGAGACCTCATGTCCGTGCACAGACTGCTCTGTACCACACTGCCCCCCCTTGCTCGCCCGCTGTGCATGCCGCGTCATTGGGAACCGCATGCAGCTCCACCCACCACCCAGAGAACGAGGGACCCCTGTCCTGAGAAGCACTTTAGAAATGAACGTCTCCTCCCAGACACCCCCGCCATGTGTTCTGTGCTGACTCGTCTTCAAGAGCCAGGTGTGCTGTGCTGCACAGACCCAATGGCACGTGTTATTTATTTGCTCCCTCCTGAGCCTGACAGTGGTCGGTGGACACTGGGGAGGGGCAGAACCCCCAGGCTCCTCAGCGGCGAGGGCTTGGCAGTGCTGTGATCGGAGGCCGGCAGGCCAGGCCAGCCCTGGGGGCTTGGGTCCAGAAGGTGTGTGTGGTACAGAGGTTGTGGCTTGAGCACAGCCGGGCTCAGGAAACACGCAGTAACCCAGGCGCCCCCAGTGCCCAGAAAAGCTCGGCCACATTCAACACTAGAGCAGAAAGCAAGACTTTCTGAAATAAAATTCTTGGTGAAGTTGAGTCCTGTCCTGTTTGTCTTTATTAACCGAAGCTTCCGCTTGTGCTGCCTGCGGAGACGCTGCAGGCATCTGCGTGTGCGCAAGTTAGACACGGCAGCGTGGAGGCAGGAGCGGAACTCATGTCCCGGGGACTGCACCCCCTGATTCTCATGTGGTTCAGAGACCTCCACGGTGCCAGCCCTCCACCTGGCGTTGCTGGGTGGTAAGGGGCCTGGTGGGGAGCAGTGGTGGTACAAAAACGGCTCAGTGTCCTCATCACTGGTGCAGCCGTTTACCGAAGTCAGCCAGGCGTGGAGGAGGACATGTTGGTGGAGACTGCACGCCATCACGGTTACTCTGAACCCGGGTACTGGGGAGCAGAGTGGGGTGGCCACCCTCACTGTGCACACTGTCACGGTTACTCTGAACCCGGGCACCAGGGGACAGAGCGGGGTGGCTGCCCTCACTGCACGCCATCACAGTTACTCTGAACCCGGGTACTGGGGAGCAGAGCGGGGTGGCCACCCTCACAGTGCACCCTGTCACGGTTACTCTGAACCCAGGGGATAGCCACCCTCACAGTGTACCATCACGGTTACTCTGAACCCGGGGGGGGTGGCCACCCTCACCGTGCACACTGTCACGGTTACTCTGAACCTGGGGGCGGCCACCCTCACTGTGTACCATCACGGTTACTCTGAACCCGGGTTCCCGGGAACAGCAGGTGGTCGCCTGGGCTTCCATGGTTGTTATCCTGATGGGAATATGTTTGTGAAGCCACAGCTCATATTGGATAATGAAAAATTAATATTCCATAAAAATTATGGCCCTAGAGGGTGTTAGAGCAGTGTGGGGCCCTCTGCAAACTTCGCCCCTGGGCGGGGATCTGAGCCTCTAGGCCCCTCGTTTCTCTCCTGAGCTGGGGTCCCAGCTGCCATTGGCCAGCCCACCAGCTCCCCTGTAGCTTGTGGTGGGAAACAGATCGCTCCCTCCTTCCCGTGGTGTGGACGCCATGTGGGGCTGTGCTGTAAGCTCCTGCTGTGCCTGAACCCCCACATGTTAGAGAAGTGCCCAGGAGTGTGTGCTTATGGGGTGTCCCTGTGCCCCAGGAAGACGATCTGCTTCTGCAGATTTGTGAGCTGTGAGGTGCACCCATCGTGAGCTCTGCCTGGTTCCCCAACCGTCTGGGAGCAGCCACGGGACTCTGAGTGAACACAGTTGGCCTCATCTCTCCACCCACACTGGGAGGAGTACGAGGAACGCCTCACCCAGGGAGGATGCAGGCTCGGAGGCCATGCCGCCTGTGAGTGCCAGCAGGGTGGCCAAGGTCCTCCCGTCCCGGGTTGACATGTAACGTCGTGAATCCGTGTTCAGAAGGTGGCGGTTGAACTCCACCAGAGGCGAAGCGACTATGTATGAGCTCTGAAAGGTTACCCTGAAGGTCAACATGGCGCCAAACCGGTTTCCGTCGATTTCCTCTGGTTTGGGGCAGCGGTTAAGGAGAGTGGAAACGGGGTTTGAATGTAAAGCTGTGGGACATGCCGAGCAAAGGAGCCAGAAGTTCCATGTAAGGGTACGGGGCATGCCAAACAAGCTGCTGGAGGCAGTGGAATTTTCTGCATCCTGGGCCCTCTGATTCCCTCCTTTTCTTTTTGGGCATTGGTCGTTCAGGACCAGTGTCCATTCTGAAATATAGCCTGGCTCGGAATTGTTTGGCATGTTCTCAGGGAGGGGGCAAATATCGGACATAGGCCTGAACCGCTGGCCTCTTTAACCAGGACACGCAGGCGGTGATACATTGCGTGCAACAGCAGGAGCATATCCACTGACCTACCTCTGAGGTATTACGGGTAGGATGCCACTGTGTGCACCAAACTGCTGGATAGTCAGACCTCACAGTGGTGTACTGAACGCTGCCTAGGGTTTTGTTTTTATTAGTTGCGCCCCCTCCTCTTTTAGCCAGCAAGTTGGATGGAGAGGTACAGGGATTATGGGTAACCCTTGCTCTACGTGCGAAGGGAAGTGTGAACAAATCCAGCAATTGTTAGCCTATGCAGTATGGTTTACAACTGCCTGGTGCAACCTATTAAGAACATTGAAATCCCATCCAGCATTTACACATAGAGCGACTCCTAGGATTAACACGTCACCCTGTTCATGGTTGATTCTGCTCACTCAAAGGTCTACGGCAATCTAACCTGTTCAAGTAGAGTATACAGGTATTAAAAAAACAAACCAAACTCATTGCCATCAAGTCGATTCCGATTTATAGCAACCCTATAGGACAGAGTAGAACTGTCCCATACGGTTTCCAAGGAGCACCTGGTGGAATCAAACTACCAACCTTTTGGTTAGCGGCCATAGCTCTTAACCACTATGCCACCAGGGTTTCCTATAGGAGACAGAATACTAACACCAAGGTTATTAGCAGTGTTCAGAATCTTTGGGGGAATCTCACCCACGCAGGAGGGTGTCAGGAAAACAAGTACTTTAGGTCCTTGACTGACTCACAAGTCCAGTTCTCACAGTTCTGACGAGTTTGTCCCTCAGCATCCAGCGGAGCGGTTTTCTTTACTCGAGTATGGTGGATTCAAGCTCTGCGTCCGTTGAGTTTGACAGCAATCACGGTAGCTAAGAGGACTTCAAAGGGGTGGTCCACTTCTGCTGAAGGGGGTTGGCTTTCCACGCCTTGAGAAGGACCCAATCACCAGGCTGGAATGGACGGAGGGGCACCTACAGCTCAGGCGGGTGCCTCAGGTGAGCGTATCTGTGGAAAGAAGACAGACTTACCCAAAGAGACTGCAAGTATTTAGTAACTTGAACATCTCCAGCCTCGTGGAGGGAGGGAGGTTGGTCATTATTAAGGCAAGCTACGTTGGTCATATTGGGGTACTCCAATAAAGGGTGCCCATATAATAGCGCAAATGAAGTAAGTTTTAGCTTGCCTCTAGGGGTGGACCAAACTCTCAAGAGGGCCATAGGCAATGCCTTTGTCCAAGCCAACGTGGTCTCTTGCACAGCTTTGCTAGGTGTGTCTTCAGAGTCTGGTTAGCCTGCTCTACTTCATCACTGGCCTTGGGTCTGCAGGCTGTGTGTAAGTTGCAATTAATGTTCAGGACAGTTACCAGCGATTGCACCACCAAGACCACAAAATGGGGCCCATAGTCACTACCAACAGATGGGAAGCCCGAATCCAGGGATGATTTTGTTCAGGAGATGCTTCACAACCTTGGTGGCCTTTTCAGTCCTGCAAGGAACAGCTTCAACCCAGTTAGTGAACATGTCGATGAAGACTAGCAGATACTTGTAATTCCCAGGAACTCGAGGCATCTCAGGGAAATCCACCTGTCAGTCATCTCCAGGCATTGTCCCAGTTTGCTAGACCCCTGGGGGCACTTCAGCAGTGTTCTTGGGATTATTTGTCATGCAGGTGGGGCAGCTCTTTACCACTGCCGAAACAGTGGCATGGACCTTTGGTCCAATTAAATGTCTCTTAACCCAATCATATAATGGTATCAAAAGGCTGTTGCTCTGTCCAGTCCATTCTAAGGGGTCTGTATCTTTTCCCTCTAAAGCTCGATGTAAAGGCTTGACATTGGGATCCAGATGTGACAACAATCAGCCATTCTCAAAAAACCTCAGAGCTGTTTCCTGTTGGTAGGGGCTGCCAATCTGCAGATAGCATCTTTTCAGGCAGGGAGGAGTTCTTGCTCTCCTTGTCTGATTTTAAAACCCAGATAAATCACCTCCTTTTGGTTGACCTGAGCTTTTTCTTCCAAGACCTGATTCAAAATGGCCAATACCAGTCCATTTCATCTCACTAATGCTAAGGATATCAATCTTTATGCATTCCATTTCGTTTCTGGTGATTTCC